CCCAGTCAGACCAGGGAGACGTGGAGCAAAGCCGCGGAGCACGTGGGCAGCGGGACAGCCCAGCGGGGGGGCGCTGCCCCCGCTGCCGGCGTCCTCCGTGGCTTTGCTCTCCGTCTCCCTGGTCTGCTGGGGGGGTAACCCCCCAGCAGACCAGGGAGACGCGGAGCAGCTTTTCTCGCCCCGAAGGACGCGGGCGGCGGGACCGCGGCGCGTCTGGGCAGTCCCGCCGCCCGCGTCCTCCGGGGCGAGAAAAGCCCCGTTTGTAAGTACAGATCCGACATAAGTCGGATCCGTGTAACTCAGGGACTGCCTGTATTCCTGTATTTCAAATAGGAAATGGTATAGTTAACCATTTGAAGAGGCAGCTACATTCCAGTTTATGTAGTTATAGTCTGGTTTTTAATTTCAACTAACCATATTGCTCTTTCAGTCCTTTCTCTAGAGCTTATCTACACATAAATCGTTACAATGGCAGAGCTGCACCACTACAGCTACACTTTCGTAACACTTCAGTGAAGACAATGCCTATGCCAACGGGAGGGCTTTTCACATCGGCCTAAAAGGCAGTAGCTGGATTGGCAGGAGAATTTGTCTGTTGACCTAGCACTGCCATATGCCAGAAATTAGGTCAGTTTAACTGCGTACAGATTTTTTTACACATAGTTCTACTGACCTAATTTCCTACTGTAGACCTAGTCTCATTAAGAAGGCAGTAAATGCATCAGAACTGATAGATAAGTGTAATCATTCTCTGAAAAGTGTGTTTGTTTAAACACATATACATCAACAGGTTTGTTATTTATCAATTCTTTCTAAATGACATTCACTCAATTTTCAAGTTAAATTATTACTCCAGAAACTCTTTATTTGAAAAACTGAGTAAATGCAGTATGAAAATTGAGACTCACTAAACATGAAACCACACAATGCCGCTTTTAAAGTCACATTTCAGAGTAGAACAGAGCTTAAGAAAGCATGTTATGGGAAATGATATTAAATATTGTTTATAAATGTATCTAGTTTGTGAAGCTGTTTGATCAAATTTTCAGATGATACAGAAACTTCCATGTGACATGTACTGTGCTTGCTATACAAGAAAAATAAAGACTTAAATTTTGATGGGCTGGTTTGATAAACAACTCTAATAGTATACATTTGGAAAGTGTCAATGTTAAATAAAAATATAAAATGAGATAATGTGATAGAAATATTGTAGAAAAATATTTGAGTAAGTTGAACATGCATAGCAGACATGGAAAGCAGATTATAGAAACTTGCAATATGAGACTATAACAAAATACCTGGTATGTGCCTCCTGAGGGGGGGGTGTGTGTGTAAAACTTTTCCTGCAGAATGACAGAGTGAGGTCATCACGTCACTTTGCATCCCTCCTGCTTCTTCCCTCCTTTCCCCCTCCTCTTTCCCAGTTCTAGGCTGCTCTGCCACCCTCCTCTCCTCTTCCCTGTGCTTGGTGGCCAGGAGGAGAGTATGGGGCCTGGAGAGAGGCCTTGGCTCTCTTTGGCAGCTGGGGGTGGAGAAGCTAGGGCTGGCCTCAGCCTGGACCAAGCCCCCAGAGGCTGGGGGGAGAGAGCCAGGCCTGGCCACAGCTTCAGCCCAGCCCAACTCTCCGAGGCTGGCAGGGGGAGAACTGGGCCTGGCTGTACCGCGGCTTCAGCCTGGCCCAACTCCCTACCTGGCTGCTCTGGGGAGAGAGCTGGGCCTGGCCACAGCACGGCTTTGTCCCAGCCCAATCCCCCAGTGGTCTTGTGGAGAGAGCTAGGCCCGGCTGCGGTTTTGGCCCAGCCCAGCCCTCAGCCGCCAGTGGGAGAGAGCTGAGCCACAGCATCAGCCGGGGGAAGGGAAGAGGGTTAGGCTGCAGGGGGAGGAGGGCTTGGGGCAGAGGGAGAAGGGGTCCAGGCTGATGGCAGGGAAGGAGCAAGGGACCGGGCTGGCACGGCAGGGATGTGCGGAAGGGAGAAGGGGTCCAGGCTGGCACAGCCATAGCCTTGCCTTCCCATGTGGCCATGGGGAGAGCTTGGGTTTGCCTACACCCTCGAGAGGGGTTGGCGAGCGTAGCAAACAGGACGGCATAGCCCCCTAGTAATACTATTAATGTTTCTTTGCCAGTAGTGTTAGGAACCTCATTTTATTTCAGTTAAGGATTTTTCACTGAAACAAGATTGGTAATAAAACAGCATGAAGAATAACAACAAAGAAAACAGGATTGGAAGATATTATTTATGAGGAAATACTAATAGATTTGTGAAGAAATTACATTAAACAGTATGAACATTTAAAATAATACAAAGGGGGATGACTTGCGACTAGTCAGATGTTACAAGAATTAATGTATTTAAATTGAAGTTAGAATTAATTTTCTTATCTGACCTAGACACAATAAGAGCAGTAAAACAACTTACTATAAGCTGGTTGAGAGATCATTGAGAGAGATGTTCAGAAGGTTATAATATTCATTTGAGAATATAAGAGGAGAATTTGTACAAAGTGGATTTTGAGCACCTAATAGTTCCTGCTAGTTGTACCATTCAAGTTATAATACATAATGATAACTATGTGGTGTTCTTTAGCAAGCTTATTTACATTTATTATTTGACTTTAACAGCACTGTAAAGAAAAAAGTGACTGGGCCAAATTGGGAACTTTGTATGTTAATATGAGACTAGGATGTGAAAATTTTGGTGACCTTCAGAAATTGACGTTACGTATTGCTGACATACTAACAAGAGACTCCAAGGAAGAGAGACCAGGAGTTCCTTTTTGTGAATTTGCTGAAGCAGGTAAAATAATAAGTAAAACTTATATATTGCATTTGACACTTTAACATTCATTCTCTACACTGAACAGGTATAAGAAGAAAACTGGAATTATGTGCTGAATTGTAACACTACCATTCTCTTGACCTTGTTTATTTAAATGTACATTGTGCACTAATCAAAATTCTTCTTGCTATGTGTAAAATAACATTAAGTAAACATGCCCAAGAGTAGCCAAAAAAAAAAAAAATCAGAGAACATCTGTTGGTCCTAAAAGATTCAAACTTTGCTTGAAACAGGCCAAGAAGAGAAACATACTTCAGAGTTGAGAGCCCTCCACTGAGAATGCTCTAGATAAACAAATGTGAGACCCAACAGCTTTCCTCCATTGTGGGTAATGACACAGGGAGAAGCAGGTGTAGGCTCCTAAGTGAACATAACATGACCAAACCATTGAGGACTTCTGTGAGAAAAGCAAACACCTTAAATTGAACCCAGAAATTTAAATTATTAGTGTTTCTGGAGCAGCAATGTAATATGATGTATGCATAAACACTATTAATTGAGGAGGAAAACACATTTTGTAGTAGCATGCAATGTGAGATGGTTTAAAGAATTTCAACCCCTGAAACAGACTCCACAATTGTTCAAACTGACAGAGCACAGTATGTCCCCTTTCTTCTCCACTTCCCTTGCTCTTTAAATTATTTATATAAAAGTTCTTGGTATATATTGTGTTTTATATTGCTAGGTCTATGTCACTGTGCAGCATTTCACTGCTTGTGTTTTCAGCCGTCTTGAAAAAAGTAATATGAACATCTGTCCTAGCCAGAATCCTTTTCATTCAAAAAAGGTGTCTAAAAAAGAACTGGCCTTAACACTAAGGGTTCCTATACTCTTATTTCATTTCCCAGAAAGCAAGCAAATTCTCATAGTTTCCTCAAACTGCTTTATTTTTAACTATGCATTTTCAGCCCGAGTTACTTATGATCTCTGCAGCCAGTGAGAAAACAGGAGCAAGAATGTCTCCTGTACTTAAAGAAAATACAATGAGATTGAAATTTTTTATGATGAGAGCTTCCTAAGATCTCAGGATAAGAGCCCCTCTGTGGTAGGTACAACACAAACAAAAAAGAAAACAGGATCCCAGCTTTGAAGGGCTTACAGTCTTGCAAACAAGAACAGGGAATTATCAAGTTCTCTAATCCAATATAACAACTCCTTTTGGGATGAAATCCTATTGTAATTTAGGCCATGTCTACATTACAAGATAAGGTCGAATCTCTTATGGTCAATTTTCTGGTCACCCGATTTTGCGAGTCGAAGGTCCATGTCCTCACTTGGGGGAAGAATTCAATATAGTCTGAAGTACTGTGTCCTCATTAGGGAACCTTCCATAGACTCAGAGAGCAATGTGCTGTGGATAGCTTTACATTCTGGGTTATGCTCCCAGTGCCTGTTGGGACCAAATATTGCAGCGGGTGGATACAGGTTCATGTAATATGTGTCCTATAATGCACTCATCTAGTCCATGCACCCTTGCTTGAGATCAGCACGAAGCAGTCTTTTCGCGCCCTTTTTTGCCCTGATTGCAGGCTCAGATGCCACAGCAGCATGAGTATGAATCCCATTTTGCATCAAACCATAATGATGCTGATATCTGCCTAATGGTGCAGTACTATGAGAGCATACACATGTCGCTCCAGCAGAAAGAGGATGATGAATCTCGGGTTGGCATGGCACCGCTGTTCACACAAGCCCTTGTGCTGATGCAAGCACAGCTTGCCATTCAATCCTGTGGACACAGTGCAACACCAGTTCTGGTGCTATGAAACAAGCACAGACTAGTGAGACCACATTGTGATACAGATATGGGACAATCAACAGTGGTTGCAAAACTTCCGAATGCGCAAAGTCACTTTCTTGGAACTTTGTGAATGGCTTTCCCCTGCCCTGAATCATCAGAATACCTGAATGAGATGCACTCTGACCATGGAGAAGCATGTGTCAATAGCCCTCTGGAAGCTTGCAACCCCAGACAGCTACTGGTCAATTGAGAATCAATTTGGAGTGGAGAATTCTACAGTGGGGGCTGTTTTATACAAGTAGTGAAGGCGATCAATACCATTCTGCTTTGGAGGGTTGTGACTCTGGGAAACGTGGCTAGCATATTGAATGACTTTGCCACAATGGAGTTCCGTAACTGCAGGGGACGATAAGCAGAACGCCCATCCCAATCTTGGCCCCTGACCAATTTGCCAAGGAATATATAAACGTCAGGGGGTACTTCTCCATGGTGCTGTAGGCACTGGTGGATCACAAGGGCCATTTCACTGACATCAGCGTGGGACAGTCAGGAAAGGTGCATGACTCTCACATCTTTAGGAACTTCTGTCTCTTCAGAAAGATGCACATTGTAACTTTTTTCCCCAGACTGGAAAATCAGAATCAGAGAGGTGGAATGCCAATAGTGATCCTTGGCGACCCAGCCTACCCCTTGTTCCCGGGGCTCATGAAGCTGTAGGCAGGCAGTCCGGACCCCAGTAAAGAGTGGTTCAACTACAGGCTCAGACTGGGCTGGAGCTCAGCAAACTCAACATTCCCTTTATGATGTCAGCCTTCTATGTGCTCCAAAATCATTGCAAGAGCAATGGGGAAAGTTATCTGGCGGGAAGAGGAGGGACTGGGCTGAGACAGAGCACCTAGGCAGACAGTTTGTGCAGCCAGACACCAGGGCAATAAGGAGAGCACAGCATGAGGCAGTGCAAATTAGAGAGGCTTTGAAGGACAGTTTCATGAACGGGCAGTTTTGAGACTTATACACATTGCTCACAACAAGGTGTCCCTGACATTCACTGTTGCCTGTAATCCCCCACCCCACCCCTGTAGTACAAGCAATAAAGAGACTGTTGTTCAGAGATCATGTGTCTTTATTTAGGGAAAACAGCCAGGAAATAAAAGAAGTATATGGTGGGAACCCAAAAGGTGGGCAGCTCAGAAACATGAGGAGGATAGCCTTTTGCCTCCCAAGGTCCTGGAGGTTGAGTGTCCTTTCCCTCCCTTTTCTTCTCCAACCCCGTGTCCTGGGGTCCCTCCTGGTGGAGACGATAGAACTGGGTGAGGAGGGAAAGTTGTTTTGCACATGGCGGGAAGGTTTCTAGGGGGGGAAGGTTCTTCTCCAGGCACACTGCCAGGTGCTCCATCACAGCCGTCAGGGAGGAAAAGACATTCTCCTGTTGCTTTGCTTGCAGTTCCCTGCACGTGCTCCTGTTCTGCTGCTCTGCTATGAAGGAGGGAAAGTTATTCTGCTTGGGGTGGCCAGAGTTCTGGGAGGAGGCCTTCTCCAGGAATGCAGCCAGGTGCTCCATCACTGTCGTCAGGGAGGCAAAGAGACTCTCCTGTTGCTTTGCCTGCAGTTCCCTCCACACTTTCCTCTCTTGGCATTCTGTGATCCTCTCCTGGCGCTCTGTCTGCATATCCTCCATGAGCGTATTCATGCAATCCATTTGCTCCTTGAACATATGTTCCCTTGTCCGTTTTTGCCTCCAGATCTACGCTGGGTGGACAGCTGCTAGATCCAGGGAAGTACACAGCAAGCCAGCTGCTGTTCCTGCTGTAACGAAAATTTATAAGGGCACACGTTACAAGAGATGCATTGTGTTAAGCCTAACCCTAATCTGTTAATATACAGTGAAGGTTACTGTAAGGCCAATGAAAATGTGTTCTGTGCAAAGCCAAAGTTTTGCTTTAAAGTGGCCGCTGTACCGCATGTACATAGAGCTCCCAAGGGAGCATCTGGACTCATGTAGTTTAGAGGCAGGCAGGCATGGTAAAGGGCCTTTCAGGGTAGGAGCCTGCAGGTGGAATGGGGGGACAGGTCCGGCTATGCACCAGGAGGGAGGGAGGGGTTGCCAGAGGCTGAAGCAATGCTAGCAGCAGAGGCAACAGCTAATAGCTTCCCCTCCTTCCTCATCCAGGTTGCCATGCAAGATTTCTGTCTTCTCTGAATCACATAGTGATAGGGAGCAGATGCTGACTGAATGTGGCCAGAAACCTGGGCCTTATGATGCAGTGTTTTGTGGTTCATCGACACCAGACCACTTACTGGTGGTTTGGTATGGGAAGGTGTCCTACTGTGGAGGAAAGAATAAGGCTGGCCTCCCCAGAAGCCTTGTGAGCAAGATCAAAGATTTCCTATCTGACTTCGTAATGGAGACATGCAGGGAAGATTCCTACTTCATGTGCAGGCACATTATCAAGCATTTTTGCCTCTCCCCCCTCCCCCCCCCATGCTCTGTAGGCACAAAGCACAGTACACATCATACCCAGCTGCTTTAACCCACTTGTAGTAAGAATAGAATTGTGAACTCACAAGAAATGTCCTCCCCAGAACTGGTGCTCATTGGGGTAATGTCCTGGGAAGAGGGGACTGGCTTCAATGTGATGAAAAAGTTTAAGACTCTCGTCCATCTGTGGCTAGCCATTCTCCTTCTCCACTGCCACAACACTGTTCTCCATACTGATGCCAGGAGTGTCTTGGCTGGATTCCAGTCAGGCTTGTGAAAGTGGTTGACTCCTCCTCCAGAATCACACCCAGCTGTTCATAGAGCCGGCATGTTTGTGGTAAAGCACCAGACTTTCCGTTCACCTCCTTTGCCTTGTGGTAGGACTGCCTCAGCTCCGTTGTTTTGACTCTGCACTGCTGGGCGTCCCTGGAATATCCTTTGGCCATCAAGCAGTTTGCGATCTTTGAGTAAATGTCCATGTTTCTTTTGTTAGTTCAGAGCTCAGAGAGAATGGATTCCTCTCCCTACACCACCTTGATGAAGTCCAAAATCTCTCAGACACTCCATGCTGTTGCTCTTTTGCATCCATGGGAACTGAAGCCCATGGGACTTGAAGTATTGGAAATTATGAATATATTAGAAGTCATGGCCATGTGTGCTGAGTTGTGCCATCCAACCTGGAACTCTCAAAGGCAGTCCTTTCCACCGCATTTCTGCCAGATCTGAAATCCCTACCTC